GAGGGAGGGGCTAATAATCGGCTCAGTCATTTTTAATGATCGTTGAAAGCCCAGATCGTAATCGTAATTAAAATTCGATTAATTGAGCAGCCCTACTTACAGTCTCATTAACGCACACGGAATCACACAAACTGCGATACAACTGCCATGCTCTGCTGCTGCTTTTCGTCTCTCACTCTCCTTCTGTGTGATGCGCACATGATCAATGATGCGCTCATTTGGGTGCGCTTGATTCTTGCCTCTAGACATCCTGAGGCCGAGTCAGCAGGGAATTTGCACAGTGAGGCTTCTGTGATGTTTGCTTTGTCCACTTTTAGTTACTGAAACAATATCAAAGCCTTTAACACTGAAAATGCACAAATGAGTATTGGATGGTTTCCTTTACCCTGCATTGTAAAATAATTTTTTTCTTTGCAGAAGAAGATAAGAGGGATGCTTCAAGTGAAACAAAGGTGATTGTGATGTATTTCTTGTAAAAATATTTATCCTTAATTGCACATTAACAGCTTGGATAAGGGAAGTGGGAAACAGTTCTGTTTAAGAATTTGCTTTGTTACAGTTTTGTCCTTTTCATCTTGATTTTACATCAATGATTCTTAGCACACAAACAAATACAAGTATTTGTTTTCTCAGGATGATACAGGCACTGAAGTTAAACAGCCAGAGAATATGGATGGCAGCACAACATCAGGAGGAAAATCTGAAGCCAAGCCCCCAGGGTCATCCCCAAATCAAGAAAAAGGTAAAGTGTTAATGACGCTTCATTTTCCCAGTAAATTATATACTGACAGAAAAATATCAGAGATTCAATTCTATTTATGGTTTTACACCATGTGATAAAATGAGGAAAAAAAAAGACTAATTACAGTAATGTCTGGTGTTTGTGTTAGACTGTAATCCTACAGCAGGATAGCTCAATGCCAATACCTCAGAATCTTTTGATGATATTATGCACTGTAGGTGCATAGTATCACATTCAAAGGTTTTGAAAAGTTATTATGAGAAATTATTTCTGAAATTGTTCCGGGTCGTAACAATCTACAAAGCACAATGCAACAAGGGAAATAGTGCTCCAGGGAGGAAGGTCATTCACATATCCACAGCAGAGCAAAACGGCGAGAAGTAAGGCGGCCTTCTTCCACTCGCCCCCTCCCTATTCCTCAGCAGGTGTTAGCATTGTTGAGATTCATTTTGCTGAAAATGGATGGTTTCAGTCAATTCAGTTTCACTTCCTGTGGTATAAATGTTTTACTCATAACCCTAATCCTACAGTATAATTATTTTAAGAAATATATTTCTGATATTGTTCCATAATTTATAGACCAAGTTTTTTTCAGTTTGATGAACTTCTGGCTTTCTTCAATTTTGCAACCAGCTGTTTCTTTTTAAGACCCCCACTTTTCCAGTGTTTTATTTGCCCCTGCCCTTCAACAGTTCTGGAAAAGTGTAGCCTGGTGGTGCAGTGGTTTGCATTGATACTTGACAGACCTGCATTTCAGATTAATTGTTCATAAAGGGAATAGAAATAAGCACTGTAGAAAATTGTAAAGAACAAAAATGTGTAAAGCAATTTGATTGTCAGGAGCACTGTAATGAATCCTGTATTTTTAATCTGATTACCAAATTTTTAGTTAAGATGTTTTCTGGTTTTCACCATTGTCCAATTAATAAAAACATTAATAATGTGCAGCCTAAGAGTGATGACTGAAAAGGAGTAAGAGAAACCAACAAGCATATGTCTGTGCGGACATGGCTTTATGGGTTTTATTAATACGTCTCGTTATGTCTTTGATAGTCTCTTGTCCTGTGTGCGTTATCCCACATAGCAAGCAGGTCTGGCCCAGATCTGGTATCAAGCCGGCACTGCTGGCCTACTTCTGGCATGATAAGACGTATGTTATTCAGATGTGGGCCAGACCTGGCATAGATGGCACTGTCTATGTGATGACATGCCACATCTGGTTCGATTGTGGTTTGGTTTATGTGGCCCAGGCTCATAGAAAACAGGCCAATGTCCCCAGTCTCCCTCGGAATGCTGTTGAAGCTCTGCCGGAGGTGTGCGTTGAAGATCTCGCAGACTGGGGCCTCTGCTAGACGTTCCCAGCACACCCTCACTATGCATTTAGGTGCACCGGGTCTGTCCAGCGTCCTCCCCCGCCACCTGATCCAAACCACCACCAGGTGGTGATCAGTTGACAGCTCAGCCCCTCTCTTTACCCAAGTGTCCAGAACATATGGTCGCAGGTCTGGTGATACAATTACAAAATCGATCATCGACCAGCAGCCTAGAGAGTCCTGGTGTCACATGCACTTATGGACACTCTTATGTTCAAACAAGGTGTTCGTTATGGCTAAACTGTGATTTGCACAGAAGTCCAATACCAAAACACCGCTCGGGTTCAGATCAGGGAGCCCGTTCCTCCCAATCACACCCCTGCAGGTCTCGCTGTCGTTACCCACGTGAGCATTGAAGTTTCCCAGTAGGACAACAGAGTCTCCAGATGGAGCACCCTCCAGCACCCCACCCAGGGACTCTAAGAAGGTTGGGTACTCTGAACTGCCACTCGGCGCATAAGCGCAGATGGAAGTCAGGACCGGTTACCCGATCCTAAGGCACAGGGAACAAACCCTCTCATCCACCGGGAAGAACACCAACGTACCGGCAGCAAGCCGAGTGGATATTAGAATACTCACCCCAGCCTGCCACCAGGGGCAACTCCAGACTGAGACAGAGTCCCGCCCCTCTCCAGGAGACTGGTTCCAGAGCCCAAGCCATGTGTAGAGGTGAGCCCAACTATATCTAGCTGGTACCTCTCAACCTCACAGCAGTAACTTGGGCTCCTTCCCCACCAGAGAGGTGACATTCCATGTCCCAATTGCCAGTCTTGGTAGCACGGGATCAGTCCGCCAGGGCCTCTGCTCCTGGCTGCTGCCCGGCAGCCGGGCCCCAGATGCTCGCCCTCGGGCACCCTCCCCCGGGCCTGGCTCCAGGGCGGAGCTCCGGTAACCCTATCCCGGGCAGGGTAAACTGTTCTCTCGATGTTTTTCTCATAAAGACCTTTTGACCATTACTGAATTGTCCCCAGCAATAATTTGATCTCTTCGAGTAAAAAAAACAAAACCAATAGAAAGAAAAAAAACGATCTGTCAACGTCTCATTCACCTAGCGGTGCAGAAAGAGTTAACTTACGTTCTCTACTGGAGTCCTACCTCATGTGACATATATGGCCAATGTGATTGGCTGTGCCTTTCAGGGAGCTCTGTTTAGTTTTAGCAGCGACTGAGGACCTGCAAGGAGGAGAGGAGGATGGCATCAAAATGGAAGAACCTCGATATAAGAAAGTATTTTCAAAGAAACCTGTAAGTCACTTAAAATCAAGCTATTTTTTATCTTAGTATGATACCTGATTTATATGGAATATAATCCATAGTTATTTTTGATTTTGATTTATATGGAGGTAAACTAAAGTCTAAAATACTTAGTCATTTATTTAATAGTAATTTAACATTAGATAATTCACATATAAAACTATGAATTGTAATTTTAAATGGTTTAAGAGTATGTAGAATAGCATATGTAGGCAAGTATATTTCTCCTTTTTTCATGAAGAAGCAAAGACAAAAAGGAAAAAAAAAGAAACAGAGCAGGGTTCTGTGGTTGAATCACTCATCCCCACCAATGCCAAAACCAAATCTACACTCTTAGTTTAAGGATGTGTTATTATTTTTACAGTATAAATAGTTTCCTTATGGTAGCACAGTATGTGAGTAACAGGATACTGGGGTATGGGGTATTGTTTTCTTTAACACATGTGTGTGCAATAAATAAAAAGAGGTAGTATCAAAAACAATAATTCAGTAATTACAATTTAGAGTGGTTCCTAACTTAATCTTAATCCTGGTGCCTCACACTGCCTAGAAGCAATGTTGAAACTGTGGTGAAGTACACCAAGACCTTGGATTTAGTCATAATCATGTGACCTGGGTGTTTGGAACCGCAATTTTGAGCAGCGTTTCGAAATAGTCTGTGATTCAGAATCTTTCCAGTGTCAAAATGTCTGTATCAAGCTTCTAATCCCTACTTTTCTTTAGTTAATTGTCATGTCCTGGTCATACATCTCCTCATCTTGTGTGCTCTCTAGTCTATCCATCCTGCATATGGGTCCTCCCTACCAACCAGATTTTTCACACTGGGTGTCCTTCCAGACACAACCTTATCCGGGTTTTGCGTCTTCTCTAGTTCCAAATCACGGATCTTGAGTCTTAAGCAAATGTCTTAACTAATACACTTTGGAGTTCAGAAAAAAGGCTTTGAAACAAGCTAGAAATTTGTATTGGATTGAGCACATATTGACTTGGCTTTTTGGTTCTACTTGAAAATGCAGGAACCTCAGAGGAGGACATCAGTGGAAAAAAGGAAAAGGTAAATAAAGTCACTATTTATTTACAAAAGATATTAAAGATGATTTACTTTACCATACTGTTTAACATTAGAATTTCTTTACATAGATTACATGTTTATTTGCTTATTTACTGCAGTCATGGAAGGGTTCTGAAGATGGCAGCAAGACAACGTCACACCAAGAAACAGACCCTTTTATCAGACTTCATCTTAAAGACAAACAGAAGTTGTCACCAGCAGATTTTCTTAAAATACGTTCACCTCTGAAACAACATGTTACATCTGATAAAGATCTAGCTCAAGCTTTTCTCCACAGGCTGATAATGTTAGATTACAGGGCCAGATATATTCCTGTAAGACCAGACTGTCCTGATGGGACACATCCAAAGCCTGTTCAAGACAATGAGACCACTGAGAATGATTCCAGTGATTTGAATGATTTTTGTGACACGAGTGCAGACACAGATCACACAGAAAAGACTCGTGTGGATCCAAAGCCTGTTCAAGACAATGAGATCACTGAGAATGATTCCAGTGATTTGAATGATTTTTTTGACACGAGTAAAGACACAGATCACACAGAAAAGACTCGTGTGGATCCAATGGATGTTCAGATGGCAGTATTTCACTGCTCAGACAGCTTCCTTAAACAGATGATGATTACAAAGCTCTCTCAGTGTCAGTATGCCTTACCTTTGCTTGTTCCTGACCCAGTCACAATGGAGATCGAGTGTCCTCTGTGGACTTTCAAACAAATAACAAAAACCTGGAAGGTAACTGAAATCAAAGATGGCTCAAACATTGTCACTATGAAGAGTGTTCCAGTCTGCAAAGCTAAGACACCCTTGGTGTCATTTTACCGCCTGGGTTCTCTGTCAGTGTCTAAATCTCAGCTGATGAACACTTTGATCAATGACCGTCACAACACCTTCTTCCACAGAAACTGTCCAGGAAGCACCAAGTCTCGATATCTGATGGATGGTGTGGCAGAGATTGCCTGGTACTGTCCTGCTGGAAAACCAAATGATGCCTTCAATGATTGCATTGCTTTTTGTAATCTTCATGGTGATGCTCTGTCGATTGAAAAACAGCGTGACATACTGATTGAAAAATCCTCAGTAAATGTTTTTTTTCTTTCCTCTCTGAAAAATGAGAAAATCCAGGCATTTGTATACCCTCTTCTTAAATCTCACAAGCCTCTAATTTGTCTCTGCGTTGATGACAGCTATAATATTAAGAAAAAAAACAGAAAGTACACATTTGGTCTGAAAGACAGAAGCCAGTCAGATGTATCTGAAGAACTGAAACAAATAATTAGAGAAGTTTTATCTGTAGATGGTTCCAGCTTGAAACCGTCCTTCCAGCTTGAAACCATGGCTGAGCTCTCTGGAATCAGAGTGGATGAAAGTGACCCAGCCTGTCAAAAAGGGAAATCTGCTGCTATGGAAATAATGGATATTCTTTCAAAGGATGACGTGGATGTCTCAAAGATCAAAGATGAATTCCTTCCTTATCGAGGCCATCTGTGGCATCAGTGGAGCAAAATACACAAAGAACTGTATCATCTGAAAGGAAATGTTGAAAAGGAGAACAGTCAAAAGCAACAAGAACTGATGAACATACGTCAGAAACAATGTGCTGCTTCCTGCAGTAAACTGATACAGTTGTTCATTGAAAGCCTCAAATCATTGCCAAAACCAAACGATAAAGAATATTTTCTGAAATGGATTCAAATCTTAATGGATGATCTCTCCACAGATGATCTTTCTGCTATTCTTAAAAGCTATAACGAAAAGTGGTCTGAGGTCTTGGCTTTGAAGAACAAATCTGACAAATCAGAAATGTCGGACTCAACAAACATACAGAAAAAATCTGACTTGTTAATAAAGAAACAAACTGAGCTTGAAGAAATTTCCAGAAAACTGCAGTCTGCAACTTTTGGTTTGGAGCACATCTTCAGAGAAATGGGACAGATCTATGAAGCTCATAGAGCAATAGAACGAGAGAGCAGACAAACTCACTGGTCTAAATACCCTGAGCTGGCTGCACAGCTGATGATATCAGGACACCCGATGGAGCTGATGGATGGTGATGCAGGTCATGTGCCTTTAACATGGATCTCCAGTCTTTTAGAGGAAGTCATCAAGAAACTGGGGGACCAGAGAGTTTTTGTGTTGTCAGTTTTGGGCGTACAAAGCAGTGGAAAATCAACAATGCTGAACACCATGTTTGGGTTGCAGTTTGCAGTGAGTGCAGGCAGGTGCACCAAAGGTGCCTTCATGCAGCTGCTCAAAGTATCAGAGGAGATGAAGAAAGAGAAAGACTTGAAGTTTGACTATCTTCTAGTGGTGGACACTGAAGGACTGCGTGCTCTTGAGCTGGAAGGTAACACCACTCGTCACCATGACAACGAACTGGCAACATTTGTTGTTGGTCTGGGAAACCTGACACTGATCAACATCTTTGGAGAGAATCCATCTGAGATGCAGGACATCCTGCAGATTGTTGTTCAGGCTTTCATGAGGATGAAGAAAGTTAAACTTTCTCCCAGTTGTGTGTTTGTTCACCAGAATGTTACAGATGTCGCAGCAGCAGAGAAAAACATGGAAGGAAAGAGACGCCTGCTAGAAAAACTGGACGAGATGACCAAACTAGCAGCTGAAGAGGAGGATTGTGATGCAGACTGCTTCAGTGATGTGATTGAGTTTGATGTCCAAAAAGATGTGAAATACTGTACCCAGCTATGGGAGGGCAGTCCACCCATGGCTCCTCCTAATCCAGGTTACAGTGAGAGCATCCAAGAAGTGAAGAACACCATCCTCTCTAAAGCTTCAAAGTCTGCTGGGATCACTCTCACACAATTCAAAACCAATATTCGTGACCTGTGGAGTGCCCTCCTCAATGAAAACTTTGTTTTTAGTTTTAAAAACACACTTGAAATTGCAGCATACAGAAAACTGGAGTCCCAGTACGCAAACTGGACCTGGGCCCTGAGGAGCAACATGTTGACCATTGAAAACCAACTTCATAACAGAATTGAAAATGGAAGTCTTGAGAAGGTGGAGCTGAGTTATCTTAAAAAAGAATCAAAAAAAACATATGAAACTATAGAAAATAAAATGACAACTTACTTTGAGGAGGACAATGGCAAAGAAATGTTGGCTCAGTGGAGAGGCCGATTTGAAACCAAAATCAGAGAGTTTCATGATGAACAGGTGAGCATGGTGAAAAGAAAACTGGATGAAGTTATTCAACATAAGAAGGCTCGTAAAAAGCTCGATGATAAAAAGAAAGAGTTTGAGGATAAGCTGCTTCAAAGGAGCAAAGAGCTCGCTCAGCAGCTGAAGGACAAGGCGGATGATGAAGAAGAGCTTAAAAAACAGTTCAACTGTGTTTGGACTGACTTGGTCACTGAAATAACAGCAGATATAAAACCTGTTGAAGACATCAACCTGGAAAAAGATCAGTTTATTATCATTAAAGAACTTATTTCTGAAGAGGATATCATACATGAATGCAAAAAAAATGACAGATACAAGAAAATAGCCGGTGTTGGTGATTATTCAGATTATGTCAAACCCCCCAAAATAATTTGTCGTCACGAGACAAGTGAAACATCACAAACTCAAGATACTGTGCCGGATGACAGTCACACAAGTAGACTCAGCACATATGTTAAAAACCCTTTCCCAAGTATTTGGAAATATACCAAAACACTTTTTGGATACATTTCAAACACAAAACAAATACAACATAACCCACACAGTGCCTTATCTCATGATGAACAGCAAAAGATCATATCGCTGATTAACAAAGCTGAAAAACAGTCCCTTGATTCAATCAAAGACAAACCTGTGGCTACAAGAGGCTACACATCAGCTTACTTGCAAGAAGCGGCAAAAATTGTAAAAGAAGAAGTGGCGAAATTTCAGTCAGAGAGTAAATGTACTTTGAAGAACGAATTTAAAGTTGATCTCTTACTGTATGTTTTCTACAAAGCAGAGAGTTGGCTTCTAGACTCCCAGGAGAAATTCAAAATGAAGCATGATGCACTGACTTATTTAGAAAGCAAGAAAACACAGTATTACAATGTTTTTAGAAGCTTTTGCAAAGGAAACTCATCTGCTGTTGTGCTTGCAGAACTGATCTGTGAAAAGCTGAAAGCTTCCACTGTTGAGGCTGTCTGTAACAAGACTGCCATTGGTCTGGCTGGAGAGATGAGGTGTAATTTCCCAGCATTCAATGAGAACAGGCTGAACTTGGAGAAACATGTGCTGAAGTCACTCGCTGAGAATGAAAACTTTGATGATTTCATCACCTACATCAGAAATCCAAGGAGACAAACAGAAGCTTTTATAAAAGCAGAAGTAGAGAAATACATCTTCACAGATCACAGAGATAAAACTGTGAATATACTCAAGAAAAATGTTGATGATGTCAACACACTGATGAGTCAAGCTTTATCTACTGCAACACAGAAAGTCCAAACTCAGGGAGCAGACATGAAGATGTGGCTGAAGGAATTTTCTAGTTTGCTAAAAGATGAGTTAACTCTTGATAGCATTTCTTCTCAAAACTTCAGCGACATTAATAGTTTTGATTTCTTTATGGAAACAATAAAGAAAGGATTTAAACCCATCATTGATCAGATGAGCAGCTTCACATTGGATAAACTGAAGGAATCCAGGCTGAAGCCTCATGAAATCCTCATTGATCAGCTCTGTAAGTGCTGCTGGGTAACATGTCCTTTCTGTGCAGCTGTTTGTACCAACACCATTGAAGGTCACAGTCCTGATGACCACAGCGTCCCTTTTCATCGACCCTCTGGAATCAAAGGATGGCACTATAGAGGCACAGTGGAATTCAGCGTCAATTTCTGCACAACAAATATTGCAAGTGATGGCAGTTTTTACCCTCGTCCTGATTCAGAGGAAACTGTTCCCTTTAAAGAGTACAAAAAAGCTGGGGGAGACTATGCCAAGTGGAAGATCACCCCTGATGAGTCTAAAATGGCGTACTGGAAATGGTTTGTGTGTCGATTTCAAAGTAAACTGGAAGAGCACTACGAGTTAAAATTCCAGAACCTAGGAGAGATTCCCAGTGAGTGGAAAACCACCCTTAAACATGAAGCCATTAAAAGTCTTAATGAAATGTGTTAAAGTGACAAAGAAAACAGGATCTTGCTGAAAATGATTATATTTTTTAGTTTTTACATCATAAATCATTATGCTTTAGACCAATAAAACTGATTTCATTCATTTATTTTCATAACCGAGTGGTTTTTTTAAAGTCATGATAAGAGGTCAAAAGAACAGCCATCATATTTCATATTTGCAAAGTTTCTTCTGTGTATTTGGTTTGTTGAAATTCAAGGTAAAGGGAGTTTGTCTTTTTATAATAATGGCTCAATATTCAACAGTAACCAAATAAAGAATACAGTGAAAAGTATAACTGCATGCAAATCATCCTAGAGTATAACAATTCTATTTGAATTTTCATTTTGTTGATGTTTGATGTCATTTCAAGTAATCTATTTTATTCTTTTTTTTTCTTGTTTTTCAGTAGCATGAAATATGTCCATTACAACTTTGTGAAGGAGCATATTTTAAATAATTTCTTTCACAAATTCAAAGTCATGATTTTCTCATACTCAGATTATGACATTTTATCACTTTTATATATTAATGTTAATGTTCTCTAATTCTAACTTCTAATTCTAAAATATTGGTCAAATTCTTTCATTTACACTGTAATCCATTCTCAAATGATTTAAACTAGTTATTCAGACTGATGAGTTTTGTCCTTGGTTTTATTTTAACTATTCCCAGAGCTGTTTATATGTACACTGTGTGTGAAATAGAAGATGGGTCACAAAATAAACAATGTACTTTAAAAAAAAATTCTCTTTTTGTGGCTGTATGTGTGTTTGGCTGGGTCTGGGTCTTGCTGACTTTTGGCGCCTGTGTGACATGGTTGTTCACTCTAAAAACTAAAACTGGCATTTACTTAAAATTTTTGATGAAACACTTTTACACTACACAAAATATTGAGAAGATTGGAAACCAGTCAAATCTCTTAAATATACTTGATCGATTGAATAACTAAAGCTTAAACAAATTAATTTGAAATGAATAATTGTAATTATTACACAAACATGAAAAAAAAAACACTGAAATGCTTGGTAAATGTAACTGAAAACAAGATGGTCATTTAATCCAAAATTTTGTTCAAATTACTTAATTTTGCAAACTGAACTTAATCAAAATTGGAATAAAATTAAATATGAATTTTATTGTATTTGTTTAAAAATCCAAAAAACTAATATGTAGTTGTGTGTTTTATATGTATGAAAAATGACCACATGTTAACATTTTTCCAAATGAAAAATGTATTTTCATAAACATGGAAATAGCTCAAAATAAACAAGCACTAAAAAGAAAAGCGCTTTTTCCCTTTTAGCTCAAAGCCTTTCATACTTGAAGGATAAATGGCAAACCAGGAGAGCAAACACAAAAGCTTATTATTTTTTTTAAAAAAATGAACAAAACAATGAAAAAGACTCATGGTTTATGTTCCATTCCCTTGTAAACTACACAAGAACTGTGATAACACAAGAACAAGCTTAGACCCTCCCACAGGCTACTGGCCTGTATGAAAAACATCTTTCAGGTTATGGTTATTTTTTAGAACAATTCCCTTTGCTTTTTTTTGACATATTTGAGATTTTGTTAGTCCAAAAATGCTTTCTCTACAATGGAAATGACATCACATCAAGGCAATGCATTAACCTTTTGATGGAGGTCCCAATTTTTGAAATGTAGTCATCTACAATGCACAGAGGTGATTCTTAAGTCTCTGAACCTTGGCTGAAAGGTTTGCAGGATCCAGCTCCAGGAACACTTTTTGAAATACCTCGAAGCAATATTTGAGATTCTTGGGGTATTTCAGATCCACAGCATAGGCTAGTCCCAATTTATAGCAAAAGGTTCTGCTGAGATTACCAAGATTACTGAGGACAGCTATGCCCTCAATAACGATCCCTACATCACACGGTTTGAGTGACCCGTCATCAGCATCCTCCTGTAGACATAAGGAACTAGAGTAAGCTTACTTTTATTCCACATATTTTAAGACATGGACACAAAAAGGCTGTTTTCACTTGAAATCTGAAGCTACTAATTTGAACACCGAGATCCCAAATTTTAAGCAATTTGAAGTAAATGCTGTTCTCTGATATACTTCATAGCTTTAGTTTTTCCACTGGATAAGTGGTCTCTGTGTGCAATAATATGGGGGGAGTGGTTCTTTTGGGGGACATCCAGCAGTGATACACAACATGATACAAAAAGTTACTTAATGTTTCCTTAATAGCTGGTGAAGGGTTTCAATCATCCAGTTCATGGTAATCCTAGTAATTTGAGTGAAGGAAACTAGACTTCTTTATTTCCTTGAAGATGTTTCGCTTCTCATCTGAGGAGCTTTGTCAATCCTGAATTGAGTCCAGTTTCCTTCACTCAAACCTACTACAAAATGTTAATGCTGCAGTGATAACATTTTCATGTCTGTCATGTGTTTAAATATATCCATAACATTGATGGGCAAGTCTAAAGCAACATGGAGATTGGTAGTGCAATAACACTGTCTTTTTGTCCGTTATTCAATGTGTCAGACCGACTGATCTTTGGATTATTATATACTTAGTAATATACTGTTACGAAATCAGTTTTACCCGGGTTCTTTTATTCGTCGAAACTTCCAGAGACGCCACCGGAACTCAGTAGTCATTTCACAAAACCTTTATTCATCTTTATTCATCTTCATTTAAGCATACACTTCTAGAAGGGAAGACGAGGCCAGTGTGTCCCTCTGCAAATCTTCACCCCTTTGTCTGTGAGACACAGTTTTGTAGGGGCGACCCTATCATAAAACCCCCCACGGTGTGCTGCAAACTCTGTGTCTGTGTCTATGTGCACGAGCACATGAATGCCTACATGTGCGCGTTCCCACGTGTCTATGTGAGTGCTCGTGAGTGACTGTGTGCGCATACCTGTGTGTATGTGTGTGCACATGAGTGAGTGTGCGTGTGGATGTGTGTGCATGACAGTTAAAACACTGTGGGTGTAGGTGACTCCCTAGGTCATAAAACCCATCTCCCTTCCAGACCACAGTTATCCAGTTACAAAATGTTGAGACCCCCACCCAAACATTCTCTGGGAAATTTCACTCAGCATTAACTCCTCTCTGTTTTACTTTCACAGTTCAAGTGGGGGAGGGGTCTCCTACAATCTACTCCTAAGTTCACGACACAGTGAGGCCTTTATTATATTGAGGGCAGTGTCAGTATCTCTACAATAGTTCTACATTCTATGTTAACACATTTCTAAACTCTAAAATAAGCTAAACATTCTACAATACACATATATATATATACACACATATCTATCTATCTATCTATCTATCTATCTATCTATCTATCTATCTATCTATCTATCTATCTATCTATCTATCTATCAGATAGATAGATCAATATATATATATGTGTGTGTGTGTGTGTGTGTGTGTGTGTGTGTGTGTGTGTATGTATATTTGATTTGGTAATGCAATGGTATAGATTCTGAATACAGTATTTGGCCTTGGTGGCAGATTTTCATAGCAGACAATAAAAAAAAAGTATTTACTATCAGTCTAGATATTTGTTTTTTGTGTGCCTCAAAATTTCTACTTCATAAATTGTTCAAAAATCTATGAAGTGTTTGTTCTTTATATTAAAGATTTAAAAACTTAAAAAAATTAAGAAAAAAGACATTTCAAAAAATGCCAAACATTGATATTAACCTAGAATTTAACAGTCGGTGCATCCCCAGTTTTATCACTGTTGCCAAGTTGTTTACAAAGCTCATCCAGTTCATGCATTGTTTAAAGTAGAAGATTGTTCTGCTGAACAGTGTGACATATTTGAAATGCTGTATACAGAATTTCCATCAAAGTAATGTCCATATGTGTTACTTATGTATATATTTTTTTATCTGTGAAAAAAGAGATGGTCTCCTCTGTTACTTTTACATTTCAGGTGATGTTAAACAGTTACCACCGAGCCATTCCATCTCATGTTTCCTCAGCAGTCCAGCTGCAGCTGCCTATAGTAGCTTTTGTTCTGTTTTTTTATATGCAGAGTACTGAGAGTGTTGCCCTATGTCAAGCTCACTGAGGCTATAGAGCAGGGGTCTCAAACTCAAATGAGCTGGGGGCCACTGCTGGCACTGTCATCTCATTGGAGCACCACTATAGTATTTCAGTAAAAACAAACAACGAAACAAACAAAACACCCATAAATATTTCCAAAAATGTTGTGTTTTTAAATCCACTCTGACACAGTGTTTGGAAGGAATGTTGTTGAACAAGCTTTTCTTTTTTTTCATAACGTTTTTCACAACATGCAATCCTTCAGAAACTGCCCCTGTGTGTATGGCTTTCCTGCTTTGGCGATTAATTACTAACCCCATAACTTTCTTTTCCCTGTTATCTCCCCTGTTCTTCTCATAATTCCTTCCATGTTTAGTTGCACAATGACGCTTGAGATTATATTTCTTCAGAACAACAAGATTCTCCTCACATATAAGACAGATTGCATTTCCATCAAACTCAACAAAAAATACTGCATTGCCTATCTTTCTTGAAATGTTCATCATCCACTTTTCTTTTAGGCTTGGAAAGCAACATCTTCTCCTTCTCCTGCTTTTTCAAATTTTCTGCCAAAATTTCATCAAATGACAGAAGAACAAGTACTTCATTTGCAATTATAAATGATTAATTATATTTATTTAAGAGACAGAAAGAGTTATAATTATAATATAAAATAATTATAAATTTTTATTTATAATTGTAATTTATTATTAATAAATTATAAAATAAATAGGTTTTTCCCCAGTAACTTAACTTCAAGGGGAAAATTACATATATATTTTTTTTACATTAATTTGGAGTTTGAGACCCCTGCTATAGAGCAACAAATAGGTTTGCCATTGTAAGCTGTAGTTCAGAATGGGGGTATTTGAAAGTATCCAGAGGATGCGAGGCAGCTATTTTTTGTTCTGCTGTTTATTATCCTAAAATATTTGTACTATGACATTATTATGTATTTGATAAAGCTTGTTTGCCA